TAATAAGTGTAAGCAACCTTTTAAACATAAACAAGGTGGAGGTCAAGGTGGGACGGGGGGCTTAAATAGACATTTGTTATCTTGTATGCCGATTGAATGTAAAGCAGCTAAAGCTTTAGCCGATAGAAAAAAAGGAATTCAAGTTAATGATGTTGATATTAATGTTAATCAATCGGTAGGGGCTTCTAGCATGGTTCAAGGAACATTAAAATCCTTCTAACCCCGGTGGTCCACTAACACAACGTAAATATAATAAGGAAAGAGATCGCAAAAATTTAGCTAAGATGGTTTATGTTTGTGTTGCCTTATAGTTTTCATTCACATCCCGATTTTATTGAATATATTCAACAAACTTATAATCCTTCTTTTAATGGTGTTTCAAGAAATACTGTTAAATCTGATGTTTTTTTATGTCAAGGTAACCATTATCAGTATCTTCGTTGTTTGTATAGCATATTAGATTGTGGAGTGTCTATAACTTCAGGCATGGGCTGTAGTGTTAATGGACATGATTATTTAACTATTACAGCACATTAGATTGATCATAACTGGATTTTGCAAAAAAGAATCTTAAGTTATAAAGAATGTGTAGAGAAAAAAACTAGTGCATATTTAGCTTCAAATATTTTGAGTGTTTTAGATTTTTACATGCTTTTAGATAAGTAATGACTGTCGCATTAGATAATGCATCTAATAATACAAACGTTGCTAGTATGTTAAAAATTAGATTATGCCCAATTGATACTAATTTTTTTCATGTTAGATGTGTTGCACATGTATTAAATTTAGTTGTACAAGATGGTATTTCATTATTTGATTGTGGTTGTATGAAAATTGGATATGTTGTTTTATGGATTTTTTATGCTCATAGACCTGCTAGCATTAGGGAATTTAATGAGCGTTGTGTACTATGTGATATGACACCAAGAAAAGTTCCAAAACATATTAAAATAAGGTGAAATTCTATTTACGAAATGCTTTCAGTTGCTTACGAATATAAAAGACTCATACAAATGGTGTTTAATGCTCATAATGTTGACCCATTAGATAGAATTTGTGAAGAAGATTGGGAAGAAACTAATGAACTTATTGGAATTTTTTAAGACTTTTTTTATCATGCTACAACCATGTTTTCTGGAATTTATTATCCTACTATTTCATCAGTATTAATAAATATTTGTGCTATTTCAATTCAATTTTCTAAATACAAAAAAATTAAAAAATTTAGAGTTGCGATTGAAGGTATGATTGAAAAATTTTAAAAATATTTTTTTCCTATTCCTCAAATTTATTTAACTGCTACTTTACTTAACCATCCATATAAATTACGAGGTGTGCAGGGACTTGTTGAAACTTTTTATGATACTTTAGAAATTTCAACTTGTGAAATGTGTAAGTCTAGCATAAAAAGTAGAAGCAAAAATTTTGTATGAAAAATATAGAAATATAGAAAATACTGAAGGAGAAGTTGGTCAAACTTCTAATGCTAATAGTAAAGATCAAATTGATAATTTTATTGCGAGGTTTTCTTGGTCTTAATTCTACTAACCGTGATGATTTTGAAGAATATCTTAATCAGTCTTTAGAAACAGTTAACGACGAGAATGGCAATGTAGAAACATTAGCATGGTGGAGGAGACGGAGCGTTGCATTTCCAATTCTTAGCAAAATGGTTCGTGATGTTCTAGCTATTCAAGCTTCATCAGTTGCATCGGAGGCTGCTTTTAGTGCGACAAGGTGTCAACTTGGAGATCATAGACATTCATTGGCGGAAGAAAAGTTTGGAAACATCAGTTTTATTTAGAGACTGGGTCAATGTCGAGAGGAGGAATTATAATTTGCCAAAGTTAACTTCCAAACAAGAAGCATGGATTAATTCGGTAATTGGATCTAGTGACGGTGAATTAGAGGCACAAGAGTTTCTAGCAAGTTTGCCAACACCGGAGGATGTTACCGTCGATTTGATATGACAATTAGAATTGAATTTTCATGGAGAATACAAATATTAGATTACATCTGAGAACTAATTGAAACAGAACTCTTCCTAGAAGATGGCTGCATAGATTAGTTACTCCTCTAATATTTGTAACAAATATTAGATTTACATATGAGAACTTATTGAAACAGAACCCTTCCTCGAAGGTGGCAGCGTAGATTAGTTACTACACTAATATTTGTAAATTGTAACTTCTAAGTTGTAAGTTGCAATTAGATTTTAATTGAATAAATTTAAAGGCTTTATTCAAGTCTTTTTTATACAACTATTGTCTTGCATTTTAATTTTAATATATACATACATATTTACATATATACTAAACTTACTTTAAAATACTTAATTTAAAATTTGAAATTTGAAATTTGAAAATTTTGAAATTTTCAAGTTTAAATTACTTTAAAATACTTAAAATACAAATTTGAACTTTCAAGTTTGATATTTGAAAGTTTAAATTTCAAATTTCAAATTTCAAAACTTAAGCATTTTTTATTAGCTAAAAATGTTATTGAAAACCAAATAAATTAAAAATGTTATTCAATAACATATAATTTCAATACAAATAAATAAACATATAAAAAAATAAAAAATCCCATGTTGCATCCCGTCCAGCCAAACACTGTCCCATCCCGTATATATAGTGGGACGGGATGGGATGTATTTTTGTCCCGTCAATCCCGGTCTCGCCTGGCCATATCCCGGCCGAGTCCTGGCCAAGGACGTCCCCCTCCCGTCCCGTCCCAGTCTCCTTGCCAGCCCTATTGAAAAGTGTGTCCTCAGTCAAAGGTTATGCCTTTTTTTGCCACCCCGTAAAAGCTTTGACTAAAGACAAAAAGTCGGGCCTTTTCTCAAAGTTCACATTTTTTTGCTAGTTTAGGCCACAATTATTAGTTGAATGCATTTCTGTTCAATTTCTATTGCTTGGACATTGTTATCCTTTTTTCAAAGATAAACTTATATTTTAGTCAAATTATTTTGACATTAAAAATAAAGTAGGAGAAATACATAATTATATCAAATGTAAAGAAGAAATGAAAAAATAAAACATTTGAAAGTTGATTATTTGTAAAAGAATAATAATCTAGATAAAGTCTTGAGAGTTGTTTAGTTGAATCTTGGTGAGTGGTTATATTGATTAAAAGAACAGGTATAGGTATAGAAATCTCCACTGTTTGCCTAGAATTGGGTTCGGACATATCTACTCCTATTCTTTAGATTTGATTTGTTGAAACAGTTTTGTACTTATACATTTGGGTTCTCACATATGTGTGGGGGAGGCGGAGCCAAGGCTAGGATTTTGTGGGTTTTAAATCAAATTTGTTGGGTTCACATGTTAATATACATATATTTATATAATTTTCTAATACAAATATAGGGTATACGAAAAAAATAGTAGGTTTGTCCGAACCCCTACCTAGCTTCGCAAGTGTGGTTTCCATCTGGTCTAAAACAGAGAAGCTTCACTTGTGTTAGCTTGATGCTGTAGAATAGTAATATACAGGATTTATGTGTAGTTGATTGATTGAATGATTAGTACTGTTGAAAGCACCCTTTGTATGGGTTTTTCAAATAGTGCACTCAAGGTGTTCGATGAAATGACTTTATCATGTTTTTTGAATTGAAACTCATCATGATCTCTAATCGTTGCATAACTCCTCCCCACACCCCTGAAAAAGTAAATTGTAAGGTGTTGCAGATTGGGTATTACATTTTAATTTTCCAATTCCATGGATTTCAATTATGTGCATTTTGAATTCGTTAAATTGAAATCAATCTTGAAAACCAACAGGGCTTATATCTCTGTTTTTTTGCCATAGGAACCAATTAAACCGAGTTGCAGAATGCCATCTCTCCAAACAGTATTACCTCCGGAACTAGCCAATAATGCTATCCGAGTTAGTATTGCTTAACTGTTAGCTATTTGAATATATGCCATAGCCTCTACAATTGTTTGCAAAGTCATTTAAGTATCTTTCTTTCTTTTGCTTTGTCTCTTAGCTTTATCGGGAGTGTCTCCGACGAGCAAAATACATTGGCAGTAAGGTATGTTTTCTTCTTTTTGTTGCTCTGAAATTATATTAGTTGTTGTCTAAATGTGGTCCTTAAAATTCAAATGCATGATTAAGTTGCGCAATCTGTTTATGTGATCGAAGATTCTGCTTACGGTATTAATTTTTTTACTTCTATCACATGTAATTAGTTAACTCCATGGCATATTGCCCTTCCTCACACCATCGAGTGAACCCTATAGGTCTGAAGATGTACTTCCTCTGAAGAACAAGGATGACTTTTATCTCCAAATGAAATTTTTTAGGTGAAAATCTGAATTTCACTTGTGGAATCATGTTCTCGGATTTGACATTTGCTTCAAACTGTTGTTTTCAAGAGCGGAAGTAAGGAATATATTTTGCTTCATTCCTCATAGGAGAGATGACGTGTTTTAGCAAGAGAAGCCAAAAATGAAAAAGGTTGATGCCCATAACCTAAAACCTACCTTTTGGGGTCAGAAAGAGTGGTCATGATTATGTTGGCTTGTGATTACAGTCTGGGAAGAGGAAGTGAAGTGAAGAAAAGAAAGGCAGTTCTGCCGTTGTAATTAATTGCAGACATCAAATGTGGTGCAAGTGTGAAATTGGAGCCAGTGCCAGATTCTTGTATTGAAAGTGCCAAAATTACTCCTTTGTTTACTTTGTATTTTGAAATTTGAATACAAAACAAATGTTGTTATACTAATAACACCAAGTACATTTTCTGTTGTTGAGGGTGTGGCTCTATGCCATTGGCATACATAAGACATGGATCCATTGGTATGCGAAATCTGTACAACAATAAGAAATGACTTTAGGCTTTCCCATTTTCTTCTGTTAGTCAAATCCAGCTCTAGAGGGTCCAAGGATGAGCGGTTACCTTCATATTTGATGACATGCCTGTTAGGAATATGGTACCTAGTTCTTGGAGAATCTACCATATCTCAAAAGAAGAAAGATAAGGTGGAATACTTAGATGTGGCTTGTGACAAAAGCCTAGGCTTAACTCACCTCTCATTAGGCTTCAAGTTTATCTGCAGGGATGGGTTTCCCTTATTTTGTTTTTATTTTCATAAGGTCGATTTTCCTTATTTTTATTCACATCTAGATGAAAGGCAGATCTAGTTATTCTGGATTAGACGGGGGATGAGATCATGTCATTTACTCATTACTTGTCAGACTCGGGCTTTACCCCAAAAAGAAAAAGAAAGAAAGATTAGCTCATTTTTGTCTTCCATGGATGGCTCCTCAGTTTTACATGCATCAGTAGTAAAGATGTAAGTGCTGCATTGGCCTCATGCCATCTCCCTGAAGATTTGAAGTTTTTATCTCCCTTGTAAATAACTCCAACTTTTGAGAAGTGCCTTAACAATTTCCCACATCCGCTCCCCAAAAAAATAAAAGAACATAACTTGCCATAAAAAAATTGTCTTTTCTACCTGTTAAAGAGCTGCTTCACCTAACATTAGATGCTGGACTTTTAACTCGGACATCGGGTATGAGGAAAACCTGTTATGCAAAAAATCGTAGAATCAATTGAAGCACTTGCACAAGAGCTATACTTTTTCGTCTATGGCACGGAACTGTCATTTTGCTTGCCTACTGTGATTCCATAGCTGTGATGGTTAAGCCAAATCCAGAGTTGTGCTTCCTTTTTCTTTCCAAATAATATTTGACTTGTTTGAACTGAGAGTTATCCAATAACAAAAATATACAAATAAACTCCATTTTCAGTACTTATATAGTTTTGCCTGTCCTTGATTTGCAGCAACATAACACAGAGCTTCTTGTTGGTATGGTGAGACAGCAGTTCAAAAAGAAAATGCACGAGACTGATCCGGATAAAATTCAGAAATTGAAGGATGAGTATGTTCATTCTGTCTTCTGTTTTTTAGCTTTTTTTGTTTTTCAATAAAGCACATGTCTTCCAAACTGGGGTGAATTTTCTAATGATTTTAACTTGGATATTCACATCATGAACCACCTACTGATTGAATGATTCTTCAACAAATTTCTATCTCATCCAATATGGTTGTTTGATACTCCTCTTGTAGTTGAAAGTTACTTGTATGACAACATAAAGAAGTTCTTTGACCTACTATTCCTTCTAAACTTGATATACTTCACTGCATCCTGATTCTACCTACTTGATGCATTTCTTTAATAAAATTGTAAGTTCTTTCTGAAAAATAAATCCATTCTCATTGTCATCTCTTAAAAAAACTAGTTTTTCTGATGATTGCCTTTCTTTGGTGTTGCAGTGCTGCGAGGGGGCTAATAAATCACATGTTGCATGAATCTGAAAAGATGACTGGCCGGAAATTCAGCCAGAATTGTTGAATTTGCCTGTTAGCAAACTGCTACAAGTAATTCCAAGATACCAGTCCCAATTTTGGTTTAGGATGTACTAAAATTTTTCGATATCAGTACTAAAACCTTGGACAGAGTTTGGCTTTAACATTTGGCCGCAGCCCAGAAGTTTCATTTAGATTACTTTTCCATACCTTAGCGATACAGATGTTGTGTCTAAATTTATGAAGTATTTTAATGATGAATAGTTTTTTCTTTGCAAAGTAGTTAAATGTTCTGAAACTGAAAATCATATAGTGACAACTTTCAGAAATGGTGAAAATTCTCAGGCAAAGTTATCATTGTCTGGCACTCAAATAATTTCTTATACTTGATAGTACTACTTCATGCTTCATATTCTCTATAAGCATAACTGCATAAGCAAAAGAGCCACCCCTAAAATGCCGACATGGCGTATGTTAATAATGCTTCATTCCTTTGATAAATCAGAAAATGAAAAAATTGTACAAGAATAATGGCCTAAAGTAACTGCGTCTATGAAACAATATTTGATTGTTTGTGAATGTGGATATTGTAGAGTACTTGATGCTAATTTTAGTTGAAACTATGAGTTTTTGACAGATTTGATCGTCTTGCTTCCCCAGTTCTGGAACCGAAGGATCCTCCTCGACCAAGAGAAGGACTTTCCCCTTTTATCTCACTAACGCGAGGACTGTACACCTTGTTAGAAAGCCTTGGGCTTTGGATGCTAACAGAATCTCTGGTTGGTGTCGCATTGCAGCTTGTTACCTTTGAACTGCACATACGTCGAATCTCACCTCGACTTCTTGTCATCATGCCATCCATAATCTCCCCATCATCTCCAAATGAACCTTCATTTTCCTGCTAAAAGGTTATGAAAGATACTGACTTAGTACTAATCACTTCATAGAGACATTTTATGGCATCAAAACTTGTCACACGAAGAGTTATATCAATGATTTATACCCTTTTTCTTTAACTTCTGTTGATAGATACATAAATGCAGATGGAAAATGGGTGAAGCTTACTCTAGTCATGCTGCATGATGATAACGGTGGTGCTTCTTCATACTCAGCAGCATCTAATTCCTGAAGATGTGCTCCTTTGAAGAACCTAGGTAGTAGGTACTGTCTGACTGGAACTAAAAGCATGATCATTAGTGGGAAGAGAACGCCAGCAATGGGAACCCATGTTATCCCAAAACAGATTAGTAAGTAGATGCTCTGGAAAATGGTGAAGAACGCTACTGTCTTGTAAGGTACAGTTTCAATGAACACAGCATGACACTCTTCAATTATTCTGTCAAACGAAAAGCAAATGTTCATGAGATCACAATAATAATGCATGCATTTTCTCTTACTGTCAAATACAAAGTGAAGCACGGCCGGAAAGCAAGTCTAGAAGGATGATAGAGGGAGTTACTTGTATCTTCGGCTTGGAGCTGTGAATAGTAATAGGATCCGTTCCCAGAACTGATTTCCTGGTAAGCTTTCAATGGCCATGAAGCCAAAGTATCCCCAAAGGACTGATGTCGGAATCATTTTGAGAAGAGGCATGGCGGCCACACATCCTCCCACCATGGCGGACTGAAGCAAGTTGCTCAACCTTTGCTCCTTCACTTCAACGGGCAACAAGTCATCTATCTCCTTCTCAACATCAAAGATTGTCTCATCAACAGGTTCATCCCTGTTGCCTATTCTTGAAGCCAATTGAATCGTAGACTCTTTCAACTCTTTTAACCCCTGTTCATGAATCAGATATTACTGGATAGTCCTACAATTTGCAAGATCTAGGAAAGGAAAACAGTTGTGTTGAATGAAAGATGTGAAATGGACTAGATCATACCCGAGATGATGGTTCTTGGTGAATCAATGGACTCTGTATCTGTTGATAGGCTTCTTGCATACTTTCATACACTTCAGCCAAGTTACCATTCTCAGTCATACATTTCCGTGCTTTTGCAACTAGTCGATTACGAAGCAACTGCATAACAAAGAAGGTAAGTCAAAGGATAGCTGGTTCTCTTTCCCTCATATATGTTCAAACATCTGATGATTTTGACACACAACTTGTTCTCATCAAATGGGCATACCTGATGCTTCAGTGTGGCCAAACTCTTTGTATGCATTGGAGATTGTGGAATGACTCCATTTGCCGGGGGGATTCCTAGAAGACCACAAATGATAACCTGTCATAACAACAGCAATAGATCATATAACTTGTTGACATTCAATGAAGTAAAAGACCAGTTGGTGGTAGGGAGAATCTAACTGCACACCATAAATCCCAGTAACAGCAGATCATAATGGTAGGAAGATGGCTTTCTAAGGTTAAACTCTTTTTGCTGAGCAAGTTGAGATGCCACGCTGTGATCAAAGTAATACAGGACCGCTACCATTGTTGCTGGAATAAAAGCACCAATTATGTGAAGTACTGGGACATCTAGCATTTCCTACAAATTTGAAGAGTAAATAAAGTGTCAAGAGATGGAAGATAAGTTTGCTAGATACAGAACAATTTAAAATGGTAGGCATGCCTTTATCACTGTCCAATTCTCATAGGCACCAGGTGACCATGGATTTGGACTGAAAAGTCGTCTTGGAATCCCAGTTGGAACATTTTTACCAGGAATGTAAGAGACAGCTGTCCAGATTAAAACCATGAGTGGCACTCCGTAATCTGCTATGAAACCCCGAAGCCAGCCTGGAAGAGGGACAAATAGTTCAACATCATGTCAAGAACTAAATGAACATTTCAATCTTGTCCTATTTAAATGAAAGCTATATTAGTTAGTTTAACAAAAGAACTCACCAGAGCCATATCGCCAAGATCTTGCCTTTCGACTCCTTAGAGCTGTGAGTAGAAGACCAAACGACAAAACCAATGCAAACATACCATTTGCAAACCTCCATGAAGATTGGAACTCAGGGAGATTTGGATTTTCTCTCTCGGGTACACGAAATTCATATACCAGTCCCTACAATCCATGACAAGTCAAATCACTAACTAAATTCCATCATACTGTATTATCTAAACCTTGTCCAACTAAGTATGGTTTTTCAGCAACCTTACAAATGAACTAACTAACTATATATGTTTTTCTTACTTTGATTGCTTGCTGCATGAAAAGCATTGCAATTAGAAGGCCAAACAGTTCCCCAGCAATACGTGTAAACCTATTGATAATGGAACAAGCTCCTAGGACAGCCAGAAGGAAAAGCAAGATTGCAGTCCAAACACACACCCTGATGATGGAAATTAACAATGAAAAAAGGAAATGAAATATGGTATTTGGTGGATAGTTGAAAAAGGAAATGGTATATACCATGCTGTCCAAGCTAAAAAGAGCTTTGGTCCCAGTTCGGGTCTATCTTTTGCAAAGTTGTACATGAATGTGTACATAAGCACAGTTGGTTCTGCAACTCCAAGAATTAATAGAGGTTGGCCTCCAATTATAGAGTGCATAATCCCACATAATGCAGTTGAAGCAAGAGTCTGAACTGCAGTTATCAATCCATCTGCAACTCTAAACTTGTCAGATCAACTCAATATATACTTATTTCTCTACAAAAAATACAAGAAAAACAAGAACAAAACATACCAGTACTTCTTTCCAACTGCTCACCAAATGATATTACTGGAATTGCTGAAGCAAAAAATATATAGGTAGTGGGAGCTAAAATCCTACACAAATCAAACTTGGTCAATGAACTAACTGCTCATGGAATATACCACACATTGAGGGGTAAAGAGCTATTGAGGGGACTCGAACCCAAAACCTCTGGTTAAGAATGACTTAACACTCCAACACAACTTACTATCTAGGTAAATGGCATAAAAAAGAAAGAATTCTACCTGAAGCCTGCGGTGAGACCACTAGTCCAATCTTGTTTAAAGCACATTAATCTCCCTTTGAGGTCATTTTTAATTCCACGAAATGGCACAAAATTATCTTCCATTTTACAAACAACTGATTCTCTTCTTCAATCCAATAGTCTTCACCAGTTCAATTGACTACTTGAGTAAATCTGACAACAATATATTACACACTATTATATTGAAGATCCTAAATGGAGTAAGCATCCAAGAAAGTAGTAGTAGTAGTATATATATTTACCTTTGTGGAAATGGATACTCATCAAAAGATCTGATGATAACAAAAGGGTAGAATATACAAAGCACCAAAATGCAGTGTAGGGTACACTAGTGTCTGGTCAAGACTCTCAAGTCTCAAGTAAAGAGGAGAGGATGCTTTTATTTTGCATGAGAGAGAAAAGAAGAGAGATTGACAGAACATGACAAGCTGGCCACTTACCGTGTTGTTTTACTCATTTGTCTTCATTCTCCATGTCCCACGTCACCAACAACAACATTGTTTACCCTTCGACAATGTGTAATTTAGACTCAAGACATCCATTAAGGCCCGTTTGGCCATGCGATATGATATCATGATATGATATCATAATATGAAATTATGAGATGAAATTGAAGTTTTATTTGAACATGCAATATGAAATTTTTGTGTTGTATATTTTCTCATAAACATAAAAATCTCATAAGTTGTAAACTATTAAAATAATCTCAATTGTTTATTCAATCTTACCAAATAAACAAAAAATTATAAAATCACATAATAAATTATTACAAAGTTATTTGTTCTCCACTTAAGTAATTGTTTCATCTAACTTTAATTCAATAAAAAAAATTTAACATAAATTGTAGTGTACTAGTTTTTAATATAATTCTCCCACATAGTACGGATAATTTTCTCACGTTGAACTTGCATTTCTCGATCAAGTGACCGAGAAGACGAATCAACATTGTTACTTTGAGTTGTAATAAATACAAAATGGTAGAAGTAATAAATTAGGTGTTGGAGTAAATGAAGTGAACAAATTTATTACTCAACAATCGATTGGTGTGAGTTAAAGTGACTATATGTTGGTGAGAATAATAAATTTTATGTCGGTGAAAATAATAAATTTTATAAAGTAATGATGTGATTATAAATTTTATTTATAAATGAAATAAATGGTTAGTAGATATAAATGTGAGGTTGTTTTAACAAAATATAAACTTGAGGATAAATTTTTGTATTAAAATATCTCAAATCATGATATGGAATTTCCATATCATGGTTTTTGGAGAATATGGAATCA